AATATACACATGTAACTAACTGTTTGTTTGACTTCAGCAACCAAGCAGTATGAAGAGAAGCAAAAGAGGGGCAAATGGCCAGGGAGGGAAAAGATAGGTGTGCTGTTAGGGGTACATGGTCTCTGCCGGTATGTCTCTTCTGACTGTCATGGTTTGCATTAAAGCTTTGATACATCCTTTGAATTCTATGGCATAGGAAAAGCTTTTCAGCAGAACTTTTGTTCCTGTTGATTTCTTCTTTTGCTGAGTTCTCCCAGAACTGCTATAATTTTGCACCTTAAATTCTACTCTTCAGCTATGGTTTGAATATGAAATGTCCCCAACATGTTCATAGCCTCTAGCTAATGATATGATTTCAAGATGGTCTGAAAACTTTAGGAGGTAGTCTCTGGCTGGAGGAGGTAGGTCACTAAAGATATTCATTTGATGATAATACTTGGTATTCAATCCCTTCCCATTCCTCTGCTTCCTGTCTGCCATGAAGTGAAGAGCCTCCTCCTTCACATGATTCCACCACCATGATATTCTGCCTCATAATGGCCCCAGAGTCAATGGAGCCCAGGACATGGACTGAAATCTCTAAAATAAAGCCAAAAATAAATCTTTGCTCCTTTTAAATTGTTCTCGTAGGAATTTTGGTCATAGGGATGGAATCTCCATGAAGCCACAATTTCCATAGACTTGTCCAAATAATGTAGAAATAGACATTAGTGTAAACCCAATCAGATTTACTTATGATCTCTATCTGCCATTTGGTATAAGGAAATACCCTGCTCCTTGTCTCACAGACTAGTATCTCAGAACTGTCCTATGCTTCACCCCTCTCTCTATGATCATCATCCTGCTGATGCCCCAAGCCTATAGTGGCAACATCCATCCGGCTTCACAATGCTAACGTGTGGATTAGAGTGGCAGCTACAAATGTGGCTGTGATGCCACAGTGAGTGGCGCCACAGTGTCTCTGTGTTTATTGCGAAGTTCTTATCAGCATTTTTCTTCCTTTCTACATTGGCCTCAACAGTCCACTACATATCCTTTCCTTTTAGACAAATTTACCTGAATATCCAATATTCTTTCCTTCTTCATGGGCCAACAGTTCAAGTTCTCAACACTCACCAAATAGAAGCTACGCTGTCTGCATTTTATCCTAAGGAAAACATCTTTGTCTTCTGACTACATGTTGCATCTCTGTCACAATAAAAACTATTTCATGAATGAAAAGCTAGGGAAATTAGACCATTTCTTTTTAGGTTATGCAGAAGAATCCTGCATAATAGTGGGAGGATAAAGGTAATAATCTGAAAAGGAGAAATGAGAGTTCCCTGTGAAAGCTGTCATTCTGGTTTTACATATAATACCATCAACCTTTAGTTTCAGCCTTCCTCCAGGCATTGTTAAAGATTACGGGCTTCAGACTTTTTCCTCTAAATCTAAGGGAAGACAGAAAAAAAAGTTTTCTACTTAAAACAATGTATCTTTAAACTATCAATGTCAAAAGAATCACTTTGTCTATTTATCCTACCGTTCAGTACTAGAATAACTGTTGAAATTTTGACTCCATTTATTGACTGAATGAATATATGATGTGACGATGTTTTGAGTTGGAGTTGGAACTACATTGTATAGGCTTGCTGATACTGTCAGTAGATCTGATTTTAATATATATGAGCAGCTGCTATACACATTGCATTGTACCTTTTAAAAACAGTGTTAGGATGCATTTACCTTTTTATTAGCAATTGCAGTTGTGGAAAACATGAATTGGGAAGTAAGACTTGGAGAGTCTAAAGCCAGCTGCTGATATTCACAAATGCTGAAGTGGTTAACTATGAAGTAGGAACCACTGTGCCTGCTCCATAAATTTTTAAGGCATAAGTAATACATGTGCAAGTGTTTTGTACAGAGTTCTAGCCACTGTTAGACAAGGCCCAAAGAGATATCTAGCAGTGGTCTGGCTACATTATTTTTGTTAATATCAATATAGCTGAGGACTTTATTTTTAAATTCTATAGGCTGCATTTCAGTAACACAGTATTTAAAAATTCTGCTTCAAAAAATTCAGTTTTGCCATCTTCCTCAGTGCTTTTATGTATTAAAATGTCAAAATCCATGCAGCTAAACACCAATCTTGGAAATGCCTTTTAAAGTCATTTTATTGCTGAAATGTAATAGCAAATAATTTCTTGCAGAAGGCAATAAGTAGACCTATTTACTCACAGTGATTGTAACTTTTGTATTTGACTTCTTAATTGGTAACAGATGTGGAAGACACAGGCTTGTCCCACCCCACCCCCAAATGCTCAGTCAACGCATGGCACCGAGTCAGATTACACGGCATGAAATACAGTACAGTACTTAGGATCCATGGAAAAGAGAATCCAAATTTTCTGCTAAATTTTGACTAGTTCATTCAGCATGCATGACTCTTTTGTTGTTTTTGCTATCTGGCTAAGAAAATTAGAACCCTGAAGGTAAAGAAAATTTCCTGAAGAAATTCAAATTGACTTTATAGGCCTCAAGGTTACGGACAAGCATGCATATATGTTAAATTTCTAGTGGCTTTCAAAGTTAGTACCTGTAAAAACAAGGCTGTAGAAAGGCACGAATGAGACGTCTTTGTGCTGTGGCAATTGCAGAGCAGAAATGGTTTTGTAGTCTGATAAGAACTATGTGACCGCCATGGTAAAATCACCGTCCTCCAAAAAGTCTGCATTTTATTAGTGAAGATATGGCTATCAAACCAAAAAAATGGCATGTACTTAGCTCACAGACATCACCCATTAAATTCTGTAATTAAGTGACGAGTCTCATACTGTAGACAAATAAGACCAAGCATCAATAGTACAGATGATTAAAATGGAAAGTGGTAGAAATCATTGCTAACGCAAGATCTGCCTCCTTTTTATCTGAAACGTAATTGTATATGAATTAAGTATATTATGTGTGAAATTTCAAAATTGAAGGTGATTATGTTTTCTACTCCTATCCCCTTCAAAAAACAAAAACCTGGTTGTGACTGTATGTCAAAATATTTCATCACTGGATTGGGGATGTAGCTCAGTGGTAAACACCTATCTAGTATTTGTAGGATCTGGGTTCCAGCTCCAGCACATAAGAAAAGTAAATAAATAAATAAAATTTTCGTCACTTAAAATTGCTCTTACTATGGAAGAGTTGATGGTATTTTGGAGATTTCAGATCCTTTAAGTCTCCTATAGGCAAGTCCTGCCCTTTCTCCAGGGTTAACATGGAAAGCATTGACAGAAACAGGATGGGACAGACCTACTCGGCCTGGGAACACCCAGCTGAAGCACAGACACCCTGAGGAGACAGTCGGGGCTAGTTCCATGGTGCAGCAGTTCACCACTACCCCATGTGTGACACCAAAATTCACCTTGAAGAGATTATACCACACATAAGAAGAGACACCCTGCCCCAGCATCAGAGGATACAGTCCAAAGTACCTGAAAACAACCATGTGGCAGCCCCCAAATCTGTGCCATCCTCCTATAGGCAAAAGTGGGAGTCTTCTGGGATTGGGGAAAATGTTGGTGTTTGGGGTTCATTGGAAGCTCGGGGTACTTTATTTCTTCTACCAGAGAGAATTTAGATGAGCTATTATTTATTAATATGGAAACTTCTGTTCAGAGGCAAATTTCATCCTTGCATGGTTGTTCTTACAGAAGGAAACAGCAGCATTTGTCTCATAAGTGTTTTATTTTCAGCACACCATAGCTTAGAAAGTTCATTCTGCTAATACCACACGTGTAAACTGCAAGGAATGAGACTTTCAAGTGATTGGCACATGCGCTGGGAGCCCTGCTGGAGGGAGAAAGGGAAGACATATCAGTTTCCCATGGTTCCTGGGGATCTCACTGTAGCTTGGGTAATAAGAAGCTTTTTTGTTGTTGTTCAAAAGTTAGAATAACCTCCCTCCTGACAACCACAATTGCTTTTATTAGACATGTGAGCATTAAACAGCACAAATTCAAATGATAATGACTAGGCCAAGGAGCAGCCTTGCAATCTAGTCCAGCTCAGGTGTATGAGTACATAGACCCACCCATACACAAATACAGACACATACACCAAAATACCAAAACCAAAGCCAAAAACATCTAAATAAATTCATACATTTCGCTGTCCTGCAAACTACAGCACTGTAGAGAGTTCATATCTTTTAAAAACAACATCCTGGACATATGCATGCATACTTTAATGCTTTCTTTTCCTGGTCAATACAGAAAGTCCAATTTATTTTGAATGGGGAGGAAAGGAAGGAGGGAGAGAGAGGAGAGGAGAGAGAGGAAGGAGGAAGGGAGGAGAAGAACAGAGAGAGGGAGAGAGATGCAAAGAGAGACAGAGACAGAGAGACAGAGGCACATACAGAGACAGACTGACAGAGGTAGAGACAGCGAGAGACAGACAGACAGAGACAGAGAGAGACAGACAGACAGAGACAAGGGGAGAAATCCAACAATAAGTTTATTGAGGGGGAAGCAGAGCTACAGTAATAACAGCAGGTATCTAGTTATAACTTCTAGAATGCCAATTAATATGTTTATGAACAAATCTTATACATTGCCAAGAGAACACGACTGTTAAGACCCCAAGGGCTACTGGTTTCACTGTGTTTGTCAAGCTGTTCTTTGCTTGGCTCTTAACAATATTTATTTTGCTTCCTGCCAATCTTGAAAATAATTCATGCTGTGTGTCATTTCCTCATAAATGCTTCCCGGTGCCGGACTGCTGTGCCTGTGTGGTATTTGATTTCAAAGTTGCCATTTTACTTTTATAAACATTTAGAACTTTCTGAGTATGAGGAACATGCCCAAAAGGCATAGAGAAACAAGGCTGTAAGTACATCAGCAGTCTGCTTTACAGCATATCTAGCTTCTAGCATATTACCTGAAAGTTCTCCTTATATCCACTATTTGTGTTCCCAATCTGGGTATAGAACACAAAATCAATATCTGGGGATTCCAGCAAAGAGACCTTGGTATCAATATGTTTAATTTATTATTGTTGTTGTGAATGAACAGTTTCTGGATGATTAGTAAAACAGAATACATAATATATTCAAGGATCTAACCCCAGGCCATTAAAGAGTAGGGGAAGGAAAAAGAAAGCAGAAAACAGAAGTAATATCTGTTACATGACGTCTGTAGTAAACAATAGAATACGAGTGCAATAGTGCAATTTTCCTTTGCTGGTCCAGCAATGCAAGTCTTAGTAGGAAGTCCACGGATGTGGCCTTTTGCATGTCAGGACTTAGCTGTGCACTGGCCGGGGATTAGAGTTTCTGCCAGTCTTCTGATTCTGCGTGGAATCACTAATGCTGGAGTCAGTTTTACTCAGTCCAAGATGACGCAGCTTCATATCCCAGCGCTGTGGAATTTAAAAAAGAAAACAGTCGCAGGCACATATCATTTCTGTGACTTCAAAAGCTGGGTAAGACTGCAAAGCCAGATCTCTTTTCCAAAAATATAAAATATTTGTCCCAGGATAACAATGAAACTGACACCACATAAACATAATGTTCTGAGTTTTAAAAACACAAACAAAACCATCTATAAGATATTCAGCAATACTTTCATATCAAACCTTAAAATTCCCATTTCTGGAAATGATGCAAACATCTACCAAGATCTATATTTTCTAAATTTATATTCAAATGGAAAATTTTTTATAGAGAATTTGACAGAAAGGCTCTTTTTATCCTCCTTTCTTAAGACCAAAGCAACACAACCTTTGAAAAGTTATTTGAGGGGATGGAGAGATGGCACGAGCTTAAGGACCTAAGCTGGATACCCAGCACCTGTGTAAAAGCCAGGTGAGAGGCACATGTCTATAACCTCAGTGCTGAGGGTGTGGTAGGGGTGGGAGACAAAGGAGGTAGAGCCCTGGAACTCACCTGCCAGCCAGTCTGGCTTAATCAGTAAGTTCCAGGATCTGTGAGAGACTGATTCAAAAAATAAGGTGGACAGCAACTGAGGAAGACCCCTGACATCAGCCTCTGGCCACACACACATATCAGCACGCACAAGTGTGTATACATGAGCATGTACACACACACACACACACACACACACACACATACAGAGAGAGAGAGAGAGAGAGAGAGAGAGAGAGAGAGAGAGAGAGATAATTAAGAGAGAGAGAGAGAGAGAGAGAGAGAGAGAGAGAGAGAGAGAATTTTTTACATTCTTGAGTTAACTAGAAATCTATAATAAGGATCCCAATAATTCCAGCCAGAAGAATTTTTTCCTACCTCAAACCTCTGACTCTGAGTATAAACATATGAACTAAAATTTTGTACAGAGCTGAGTGTGGTGGTACATGCCTATAATCTGAACAAGCAGGAGGTTGAGGCAGGAGGACGGCAGAGAGTTTGAGGCCAGCCTATAAGCAAGACCCTGTCCTAAAACAACAACAAAGAAGAGTGTTCGAGTTATTGGCTTATTGCTTCCCGTTTGCGTGTTTAAATTCAGACCTGAGACTGTCAATGAACTCGTGAAAACTCAAGTTCCCTGAAGAAAGCAATGGGAAATGAAGCCACTGTCCTGCGAAGCAGAAGCAAGCCATGTATCCCAGTGACAACGTACCTGGCAAGGCTTACACTGAAGCAGAGATGCTGAAAGCTCTTCCAAATGGTACTGGGATTTAGGGCAAATTCTTGTTCTGCACTAGTGAGCAGAAAACCAAATTGAAAGGATGGGAGGAGATTCCAGTATACTGAAGAAGAACCACTTGCAGATAGCACGAGCCTTCACTTGAAATGCATCTCACTTCTGACAAAAATACTAGGGACAAAAGGAATTTCCTAGTGATAGTTTCTATCTACAAAATAATGCAATCTACATTTTAGCAGGTCACTTAAACTCAAATGTGTCTGCTGTGTTGAGTGCCAGATGCATACAATCAACTGCCTAGGGGTGTTTAACTTACCTTGTAAATGTTTCTTTCCCAAGCCTTCCATCTTGCAGAAAGAAGAGGGGGTATTATGTTTGGTACAGTTCCCACTCCCTACCCCCATTCCTAGCACACATTTTTTTGAGATTCTTTGGCCTTGTATGCATTTCCCACATACATTCTTTTCTTCAAAAAAAGATGTGCTTAATACACTAATAATAAGTGAAACCCTTCTTTTTAAAAGAAATTTACTACTTGATTTTTCTTAATATATGTTCTAGAATATAAATATAAAATATTAATGCTGCACTACTGTTCTAAGGGCCTAGTTTGGTCAGATCTCTATGAAGATGGCTGTGGTGGTGGCTTGTCATCAGAATTCATGTCTGTACATTGGATACTGTGGTATTTTTCTATTTACCAATGATTTCCCCTTTCTCACAGAATTTGCGATTTGTTTAAAAGCAATTAAAAAAAAAAAAAAAAAAACAGAAACAAAAAAACCTCTATTTTCTACTCTGTCCACTAGGGATTGACACCACACAAATCCTGATCAAAAGTTCTAAGAAAAAGATGTTGGATAGTGTCCTTAGAAATTTGTTTAGACCTCCCCTTTCTTTCTGTCTGAAATGATGGTAGAACAGCCCTCCTTGACTTCCATGTAAACATGAGGATGGGGGCAATACCCTACAAATGGCAGAGCAATAGCCTGTCAAGAGGCTAGAGTCCTAATAAAGATGCAAAACCACCCTATCAGGATTAATGGCTAACTACAGGTAGAGTCATAAGAAGGTAAGACAACTGTACAGACCCTTGATACATATACAGGAAATTTATTCCTTAAATGAATAAGCATCAAAGACAATATCAGTTCTTGAAGTATTAAATATATATACATAATATGTATCAGGTTTTAATATTTTCATGAAGTTGAGGGCAGCTATTTAATTTATATGGGAAATGGTTTTCTATGAACTATATTATCAGATAGAATTTTTTCTGGTGTTGGGCACTGAACTCAGGGCCTTGTGCTTGCCACTTAAGCACTACCACAGAGCTGACTCTCCAGCCTTTTGTACTTTATTACTTGGAACATAAAACATAGGCTTACCTTAACTTTCTTACCAAGTCGGTCCTTCCACTTCTCAGCTATTGAGCCCTCTACCAAGAGCAACCTGCATTTTTAAAACAAGTGACCACTTTTGAAACATCAAAACATATTATTGAAAATACAAGGACTTGGTGCCAAGAAAAACTAAATATGTTCATTCTAGAACAGGAAATCCAAATAATTGAAAAAATTCTTAACTATTTGGGAGTCATTGACCCCTTTTAGAAATTAATGAAGTTATGATCCCTCTTTTCCAAAAACATTCTTACTCATAAACTATACTCACATCTTTTTCTATCCAATATATAAAGCAGAAGAAAGCAATTAAAATATGTCCACAGTCCCTAAAAAAGTAGAAAGAGCCTAAAATAATAACTCTACAGCAAGATCGTTAAAGAGAAATACAACAGCTAGGAAGGAAAACAAATTATCCTGAATCCTTCGGGGTCGAGTTACCTAGAGCGTTCCTCATCTTCGTAGCCCATGATGATGTATTCCTCATTAACATTAAGTGGAGGGCACAGGCAGCCAGAGCTGGTATAAAGGTTGACGGTATCCCTCGGAATGTTTACCAGAGATGCCTTTAGAATCTCCTTCACCTCCACAACAGCAGTCACATCATGGCATTTTGTCTTTACCTCTTTGACTTTAGCCCGAATAACTGTGATAAAAGAACATGAAGCTGATGTATATTATGACATATTGTAGGTCCCACAATTCAAAAGAAGCCATGTAGGCCTCTTTCTAGTCAATTCCTCTCAATTTCATGCTCAATGGCTAGAGAGCGAGAGTCAACCAGACATTTTTCTTTAAACTGGAGTGAGTGATAAACACTGTACCTGCCCTCTTGATACCCCCTGCTAATTTGTGTGTGAACATACATTTGTGCTCATATATGTACATGTGTGCACTTGTGTCTGATTTTCAGAAATCTATTTAGATATTCAAAGGTTGACTGAGTAATCTGTTAGAATTTTCCTCCAAAATTTCATTTTGGATGTGTGAATATGTAGGCATGTGGTACCAACTGCTGCCAACAGGAATTTAACTTACATTGCTTTCACCATACACAAAGACCTAGGCTCAAATATGATTTGTTTCTTCATTAGTACTCTTCAATTAATCAAATTTCTCAAGTTGGGATTTCTTTACTGCCTGCTCAAATGTGTTCCCAGGGTTCCTAAAAGTTCTGCAATCTTTTGCCATCCTCATCTCAACTCCTTCCTTTCTTTTAATACACATTATCTTTTATACTATCCCTTAGGAACTCTCAAGTTTCCTTTTGAACAAACGTCACCTCAGACCTTGTGTCCTCTCTCTGCTTTGTGGTTGACTGCTCTGACACCCCTTGTCCCTCCTGTGTAACAGAGTACTTTCCAACATGCCAGCTGCATAGATCTCCTTCTCACCATGCTGATACAGGCGCCCGCTCTGTCTCATAAGGCTTGGCTTCACTTCTCAACTCGAAGACAAATTACCTTCCTTTGCAAAGCGAAACTATATAATCAGAATCCAGAAAGCACATTCCTGTTACTTTTCTATATCTCTCCTTTGGTAGAGCCAAGTTCTGTAGATTTCCACTTATGGTTAAGTAAACATTTTTAAAGGAAAGTTAACAACAACCAAAAAAGAAAAAGAAAGAAGTCAAAATGTCAGCTACTAAGGAGTCAACAGCATGTCAGGTACCTCGTCATGTTGGTTCAAAATTCCTGGGTGCTAGACAGGGGGAACACACATGAGCCACTTTTGGAATGCTTCTTAAATAAGAATGCATTAACCCTTTCCACTGGAAGACCTCCCATGTACTTTAGGGGTTTAGGACTACACAGGATTGATAAAAGGAACTCCATGGAAATACAAAACCAGCTAATCAGCTGTTCCTCCATCAGTGTTCCAACTTTATCACGGCAACTTAATATTTCACCAGTACAACATTCAGGACAGAAACTGAGTTACTAAAAATTTTAAATCTTTAGGCTAAAACCTATTTTTGCTTAATGAATATTTCAGTTATCACAGAACTTGTAGCAAATATGAGAACTTGTAGCAAACAAAATATAATTGCCTTGCTGGCCCTGCCTGGCTGCATTTGCAGGGAGAATCCTTTTCTCTGCTTGTTCTTTCAGGTTCTGTATTTTAACAAGAGATAAAGTTGCCCTTTCAGACAAGTTCTTAACCCCAGATAGCAGAGGTATGTGTGTGTGTCCTGGCTTAAATGAATATGCTTCACAGTATCCATCAGCCATTAAAGATTAGTGAGCTGTGCAAATGTTCTCAGGCTAATGACTTATTTACCTAATGTGTCCACTATTTTCATTAGAAATTTTTAGCACATGTACCTACTCCAAAATAAATATCTCTTTACAAAACCTATCTATTAGTAAAGTAATTTTGTTCAAACTCAAAAATTTTTAACTGAATTAATTTGGAATGAGGCAGAGATTCAGTGTGAATTATCAATTGTTCCTATTCCTACTTTGTTTTTTCAACAGATGGATGTAAACACACAAAGTAAAAATCAATGTAGTTTAAAAATAAAAATAAAAGTTAAAAATAAGTAGTTTACCTTCTAGTCAATCACTGGAGTGCCTGTTTTCCCTTAAGAATACGTGAGTCCCACCAAATGACAATCCTTAAATCATGGGTATCCATGGGTTAGAGTTTGGCTAGGTAAACAAAAATTATCTCCTCCTTTCTTTTTTTTTCAGGAATGGGGATGAAGCCCAGGCTGACCTTGAACTCACTATACAGTCAAGGCTGACCTCGTACTCCTGATCCTCTGGCCTCTTTTCCCAAGTGCTGAGAAAGACTATGGGTATGAGCCCCCACACAAGCTTCATCTTTTCTGTGAATTGCAATCCACATCCTAGTTTAGTTCACAATATTCACCCAGACACTTTCTCTAAGACGTCCTCTTCCTAATGATTTTTAGGGATTAATGGTTTAACTTTTAATGAAAATAGCAGTACTATCTTTAGTCTTATCAAGGAAGTTGGGAAAGTTAAAATTAGTAGGTGAAGACAAATGAAAATTGGCATCATTTTTTTGTTGTTGGTGTCTTCTGGGGTGTGTGTGTGTGTGTGTGTGTGTGTATGTGTGTGTGTGTGTGTGTGTGCGTGTGTATGTGTGTTTTGTTTGACAAAGTCTCATGTATCCCAGGTTGGTTAGGAACTTGCTATGTAGCAAAGGCTGACCTTGAGCTACCATACCTAGAGGTATGTTTTTTTTTGTTTTGTTTTGGTTTTTTTTTGGTCTTTTTGAAACAGGGTCTCCTGTTGCCCCAGCTGGCCTGGAACTCACTATGTAGACCAGGCTGGCCTCAAACTCACAGAGATCTGCCTGCTTCTGCCTCCCCCTAAAGGCATGCACCATCACAGCCAGCTCATACTTAGAGTTTTATATGGTGCTGAGGATCTAATCCAGGGCTTTGTGCATGTTAGGCAACCATTCTACCAACATCCTAAGGCCCCTAGTATAAAAGTATGTTTTTATTTTTATCATAACTATACTTAAAAATCCATATAGTTTTTCTTTAAAAGCTAGTCTTCTAAAAATGAAAACCCCTCCTTTTCCCTATAGTTCTTCACATCAATTTGCACAAAGAAAGGGGTCTTCAGAAAAGTAACTAGGCACACCAGTACCCCAAAGTACATTATATAGATTTAAAGAAGGAACAACTTTGGTGCAATAATCATTGACAAAACCAGGAGAAGAATGCCCGTGGGCAGTTGGAAAAATTAGAAAAGATATTTTGTGGAAACCATCTAAAATAATTCCAGATAGAGACAGCATCCTTTGATTACATCAACCAACTATATTTATATAGGTAGCTCTTCAATTAATGCTTAACTTACCAAAATTTGGGGGTCAGGCTAGATAACAACACATTTTCATGGATGATCATCAACAACTATTCATGTTACTTTCTAAAGCCCTGTTTACCCCAGTGGAGTACAACTGTGGCCCAGACACCAGCACATAGACACAATCCATCCTCAGTCTCCCAGGCAGAGAAGGGATCATCTACTTTGAAAGTAATCTCTGTGTACTGTCATGATTCTAATTCCCCAAATGTTGCCCAATGTGCTCACAGTCAGGTATTTGGCAAGAACTTTGCTACCATGAGACATTTTAATTATCTGAAGCTAGAGAACTGTGCTCTTAATAGCTGTCCCTTGTCTTTAAGACTTATTTTTGAAGTATTCAACTCATTTTACGCATGCAAGCATTTGCACGTAACATACACACACATGCACACATGTTTCCTAACACAGCAGTGTATGAGTGGACCATGAAGTTAACCTTACCATAGTTGTAATTGTTCCGGAAATAGGTCTTCTGTGTAGCTCTAATAGGCTTGCATTTGCAACGTTCTGAAAAACACATTTAACAATAAGTAAAGAGTCAATATTCACTTTCTTTTATTTACTCAAGTATTTTCGGGACTGCATCTGAGCTGAGTGCTGAGAAAGGTTCTTTGGGCTTCTGTATCTGGTCATTTTCTCCTGAAGCTAACTTTCTGTTTCTCTGTCTGTTCAACATCTTATTCAATGTCAATAGGTTCTCAAGCTCTGGTTCTCTCCCACCCAAATCCTGAGGCAACACTGCTAACCTTCCTGCAGGAGCTCAACTGGACCCCCAAATCCTGAAAGAGGTATGCTTAGTGCTTATGGAAGTGGAATGCATGCCCTATAAGAGGCCATTTTTTCCCTATGCTTAGATAGCTGGAAGAGTCCTCTGAATTTCTAGCTGCTGTTCATATGCTTTTACAGGTCACACCTCATTCCTCCACATATTGGGACCTGAATCCAAAAGCAACTCCGGGAGTTGAGCAGGAATGGATACAACCCAGTAAAGCTGCCATTACACACAATGATATTTCTGTGCTCACTGGAGGAAATTACTACATACATTTTTTGAAAGGAGAAATTACATGTTTTAAAACTATTTACTAAGAAACTAACCCTGAATATGTTTTACACAGTATAGATGTATTTTATAAAAGCTCTAATTCTCTCAAAATGTTTCATCTGTAGATAATTTTACATCTTCAAGAATATATTATTGGCTGGGTATGGTGGAGCACACCTTTAACCCCAGCATTTGGGAAGCAGAGGCAGGTGGATCTCTGTGAGTTTGAAGCCAGCCTGGTCTACATAGTGAGTTTCAGGCCAACTGGGGCTACAGGGAGACCTTGGGGGTGGGGGGGGAGAGGGAGAGAGAATACATTATTGAGCCTTTTATTAAAGAGCTGCACTGCCTGGATTACTTAGTTGAAAAAAACAAAGCAGAGGATGTAGTTCGGTGGTAAGGTCGATGCAAACGGCTGTAAATTCAATCACCAGCCCCCCCCACACACAGCACACAGCACACACGCACAAACACACACACACACACACACACACACACACACACACACACACACCATAAGCATGGTGAATTGTCAGTGAAGTAAAATAAAACCGGAAAATAATACACATTGTCTCAGAAGACATTTGATTATGTGTAAAGCTTTCTTTAAATGAATACCCTGGAGAAAGCTCCACTAACATTAAATGTTAGGTATTTTTTTGTCTCATGACACAGAATACATGAATCAGAGAAAGGAAGCTACATTTTATAAAATATCTTATTTATTTATTTTTTTATGAGTGTATTGCCTGCATGTATATCAGTGCACCTGTGTTGTACAATGCCTGTGGAGATCAGAAGAGTGCATCAGATTCCCCTGGAGTTAAGGACGGTTGTTAGCTGCCACGTGGGTGCCACAAATCAAACAGGACCCTCTGCTAGAGTAGCCAGAGCTCTTAACCACTGAATCATCCTTCTAGCCAGGAAGCTAATTTTTAAAAAATGTTTTATGTTAGCATGAGGCCCAATAAGAAGCAGACCCTCTTGTTGACCGTTTACTTTTTATTCTTCTTTTAAATTTTAATTACTTATTATTTGTTTAGTGTGCATTGTATGTGTGTCTGTGTGGGGGCATGCATGCCATAGTGCATGTGTGGAGATCAGAACACAACTTTCAGGAGTCAGGTCTCTCCTTCCATCATGTGGGTCATGGGGATCCAACTCAAGTTGTCACCCTTGGTGGCTGGTGCCTTAAGCTGCTGAGCCATCTTGCCAGCCTCTCATATTTTCCAATCAAACTTAATTTTACTTCAGCTGAACCTGTAAATGAGCAGCAGCAATCCTGAGGACAGAAGTACCCTTCCTGCTAACTTCCAGTTTGAAATAAGCATCTCTCCTAGGGGTGGGTCACAGCAAAAACCGTTCTTCTCATGATGGTAATGGAATTTCTCGATGCTCCACAGAGCTCTTTCTTCCCTTGTTCTGCAGAGAATTTTTAACAGGAGAGTTCTGTGAAGAGTTTAGTCCAGTAAGCAATGGTAGTATCAGTGGTGCTTCACAGCTGATGAGACGGCTCAGCAGGCAAAGGCACTTACTGCACAAGCCTGGAAACCTGAGCTTGAGCTCTGGAATCCATGGAAAGGTGGAAGGAAAGAACCAGCTCCAGAGGGCTGTCCTTGAACCCCCACATACACAAATAATAGCAATAATAATATGTTTGTTTTTTGAGACAGGGTCTCACTAAGTAGCCCTGGCTGACCTGGAACTCACTATGTAGAACAGACTAGCCTTGAACTCAAAGAGATCCACTTGCTTCTGCTGGGATTACAGGTATGCAGCACTATGGTGGGCCAATAGAATATATATTTTTTAAGAGGACTACTTCAAAAATAATGTTCTTATTAACAAAATGGTTATATTTTCATTTAAAAGAAAATGGAAAGCTATCCAGCTCTTGCTTTGTGCAGTTGTTTGATTTTATAACCAAAATGTTGTAATATTATACATTTTATAGAGATATTATAAAAACTGAGAATATTTCCGAAGAAATACATGCTATAGCCTTGAATTTACAAGTTATCTTCATAAAAGTATGAGCTTGTTATTTTTCTATTTAAAAATAAATACATATCAAAATAATACCCAAAGAACGAAGAGTTTATTTGAGGGCTAGAATGCTTGCCTAGCATGTGGCAGGCCCTGAGGTTTGATCCCCAGCATTGCAAAAATAAAATAAATGCTGATAAGTTATCCACATATTTGTATATCTTCAGGAACTTGCCTGTACTCTAATAAAGAGAGTTTGGAAAAAATACTGCAACTGCCACTGAACTGAATCTAATTTGATATTGTTACCCATATAAACTTCGCTTGAAGCATAAACAAATGCATTCCATCAAACTTCCCAGGCAGAGATTTTTGTTATTTTGACTTTTTTTTCCCAGAGCTGAGGACTGAACTCGGGCCCTTGCACTTGCTAGGCAAGCGCTCTACCACTGAGCTAAATCCCCAAATCCCAGGCAGAGATTTTTAAAAACTATATTATAAAGTGATTTAGGAAGATTTCAAGATGATCTTTACATAGCTATGTGCATAATTATGTAGACATAGCTAGACTATTTCCTAGTAGCTAATAAGTTGGGTAGTCACATTCTTGGGAGCAGAGTTGCCACTCTGCAGTGCCCTTGCTATGCTCACTGATCACTTATGGAATAATGTGAAAATACAATCCCTTTTCACCATGATTGTTAGCTCTTTCTATAAGCAAATACCCATCTAGTTTGATTATCTATTGACTCAATAAATTAGGAGTAATATGGAGTGGAAATTTTTTATCCACAAGGTTCAATTATAGAAGAACTTCCTTCTACTTAAAATTATTCAAGTCACAGATTCATATCTGAGGTCAAATTATATCTTACCTTAGTAAAGCTAAAGCATTATCTCTCTTCCAAGACATATTCACCATTAATACACATCCAGAAGGCCTAAGAAGTAGGATGCTACAAGTAATGAGAAACTGCATGCATTATCTAGTGAGATTTTTCTGTGCCTACCACCTTAAAACAGACTGTAACCATTTATTTTTCTTTATTGCCAATAGTTTGATTTCTTGATAGTTGGACTTTTTATTGAACCAACAGAATTACCATTATTACTAATTTAACTGCTAGTAGTCTTCCTCTACCAGCTTCCTGATAGCACATGGATTTTAAGTTTTTAGTATACAGTGGCAAAATTTAATCTCTCATTCACTGAACATTGCATAAAAAAACATTACATATTGATTTTCTTACAATGTTGAGGACAAAAATCTTATAAAGGAATTAGAGTCTGCCATGGTGCTTTATCTTGGGCATTTTTTTTTAATTAAAGGAGCTGACTTTGATTTTAAAAAAAACAGTGAAGATAAAGATCTTCAAAGGTTTCAATATCGGAAGTTCATTCCCTTCACAGTCCATAAGGAAACACAATAGCCTGGATTGTGGGGCAGTGAGCAGGGCTCATCCCATGTGTAGCCATGAGCTATGACTAGGATGTTGTCTTGGATGCTCTTCATGCTCCCTCACTCTTTTCACTCAATTCTTTTAGCCACTTGCTAGAAATATTGTGAACTATTGTTTATTTTGCTGGTATAAAGATGTGTTTATTGCCCTAGTACAAATGTTAAAAGATGTTAACATGTCCAACCCCTGAAGAGATGTAGCTTAGTGACACAACTGGCATGTGCAAGACCTTGAATTCCATCCTCAGCACTGAGATGCCCCAGGTCACTGCAGTGCTTGAGCAATGCACAGTCTTTCCATCTCTACAGTGAGGCTTTGACAAACACAAGCCACATCCTTCTATATTCAGATTGGATCACAATATTGTAGGTTCACTTGTTAAAACACATGGAATAATATTTTTATATTGGTTTAAAAGCTTTAAATAATTCTAATGACATTACAATTATGAAGTTTCTGACTGGGTTTTCATTGTTTAATGTAATCTCGTTTGAGATCAAGCTTAAATGTGATGCAACTTTCTAACTAGCCCTGACCTTTATTTGAATTCTTTTTTATCTCACTCACTGCTGTAAGACTATAATTAACTTCACTAGATTCCAATAGTCCATAAACCTACCACGACTTTGGAAGATTACTATCCTTGTATATTTTTCTAGGAAAATAGCATAAATCTAGGCTCTGGATTTATTGCCAAAACATAGAAGAGGAGAAAGTACAATTCTATCTTGTTATGTTTCCATTGCAGCTCATACGTGGCCCATTCTAATCAGATCAGAGTTTGTTTGTTTGTGTGGTTATTTATTTTTTGAGACAGGGTTTCCCTGTAACCCCAGCTGGTCAGGAACTTGCTATGTAGACCAGGCCAGCCTCTATCTCACAAAGATCTACCTGTCTCTGTCTCTTGAGTGCCGGGATTAAAGGTGAATACCACCACACCCAGCCAGAGTTTATTTGTGTCAAATGCACATATTCTTGCATCTGATCCCTGAAATCCACTTTTTCCCCTTCCTTCC